CATTACAAGGAAAATGTATGCAAATTTGCAGTTTTATCATGAAATGTGTATAAATATCCCAGAATACATTTTAAGAGAGCAAATGACCATTGTCGCAACGCAAAGGTGAAATTATTATGTTTTATATGGTCGCATGCATCGATGGTGACCTAACTAACTTTTTGTTTCATTTCAATGTATTTCGCACTTTTTTCATAATATGGTTTATAATAAATAAGATGATAAGTGCAATTCATATGAAACATTCAAAAAAGCAATTGCACGAAAGAATAGATGTATGTATATCAATCCTAAATGATGATATCCCAAGTTACAATTAGTAATTACTTATTTGTAATTCATTGGAACCGCCAAAACCATCAAACATTCTGCATTACATTTTTACAACTTTGCTCATCTAACAAACGTTCTTTTAAACTGAATAAATAAAACGTACATATTTTAAAACAGCATTTGTTAAATCTACCATAAACTATTCGTATGCCATGGCTAATCGAGAACATTCTTTGGAATCAACTCTTATTTAACGAGGTTGTCTAACCGGTCAGATTCACTTTCTCCCTATTTCTTTCTTGTTCTGTGCGTGTGCGTGTGCGTGTGCGTGTGCGTGTGTGTTATGCTTTCACGTTACGCTGACATAAGTGAATACTGTTGAAAGCGGCGGTAACGACCTCACTTACTGAAAGTAACGAGAGTACAGGACCCATGTTTGGTGGAGTATCAATTTTGGTATAAATACTTGTGGTATATACTTTATTTCGATCCCGGACGGATGGCACAGTCATCAATACGATCCTTTTGAGCTTTTAAACTATTATTCTCTTTGGCAATTCTCTTTGCAAAGAAGTGTCCCAAGGCAATATCGGGATTTGTTAGTCATGGGTTCAAAAGCGTAAATTGTCTAGATTACGATCCTAGCTCTGTCAGTTTCTTTCGTGTCTATTTAGCCGCACAATATTTAACAACAATATACCCTGTACAAAAAAGACGACAATGTTCCAATTATTTGAAAGCACTTGTTTATGAACTGAACAAAATTAAACCGCTGATATTGTTTTGCCGAATTTGCATTCACATTGTACAAATTATCATACAAATGAACATACAAAAAAATAGAAGGCACCAAAAGTAAATGTAACTCGATTATTATTTACAAAAATTAATGGATCGTTAATTGTACAGCTAGTCTTACGTATATATGCAAATATAAAACAGGCAGATGCACTTAAAATATCATTAATCCAAATAGTACCATTCAAATCAGGCAAATAATTGTCATCGAGAAATGGCCTTTGTAAATATTTGTTTTAAATACAACTGCATGGCATGCAATGCTTTTTCTTGAGTAACAGGGTCCACACTTTGTATTGTATGGGTCGTATAAGCATTGCTCAAATCATGAGTTCATTAGTGTATAACACTCATCGGTCCCGATCATTTAGAATGTAAGGATCAGACCTTTCAAACGTCTCTTGACAATGAAAATTCATCATAACCCAAAAACATACCTTGGCTTAAGAGAAAACCTCTGGTTTTGACATTAATTGTCACTCACGCTTATGTGATACCACTCCGTACTGAACGTCAGTTCCCTTATGTACATATTTAACTGACATAAATTGCTTTGTCTTCTTTCAGTTTTACAACAGTATATGTACGTGTGAGCAATTTAAATCATAAGAAAGGATAAGTAAGGGGTCACCGTGCACTACACAGATAACAAAATGAAAACTCACAACGACATTGTCTTGTTTTTAAAGACAGGGCTCTAACGAGATAAACAATGTTTTATGTTTACTGGTTAATCCAAAGGAATCTTCAAACAATCAATCAATTCATGCATTGCATTTATTAGTTTCACAATAATACTTGCGTCAGAAGGGTGATAATTTATTTTGGACATTATAGTGCCAGAAAACAAACTTTGAGATGAGAATTTTACAAAAATATTTCTCGGGCATCGGGGCGTCACTAAAATTCTTTGAAGTTTTAATAATTTCCTGTTTCACATAAAGCATACTCTGTTATCTGTTATGTATGCTTATCAACTGTCATTGGATCAAAGAGCCAATGTTTGTCCAGTTGTGTATGTTAGTATTCTTGGTGGGGAAAATATAAGTGAAAAGCTCACTCATCACATCAATAGAAAACAGGCTTGAGGCTGACATGACATCAGTCTAGAATGCTGTAACGTAATCAAACAATAGTTAATGTGATATATCTGCTTCCATGACAACTGAACATACTGATAAGTGGAGCTAATGGGGTAAAAAATTAACTGACACAACATTTTTCTTACCCATAATTATCTAACTAATCAAATAATATGTACAGTTTTCGAAATTTAGATATGTAAGATATGTCACTCTCCTGTTCTATGTTTTCTTTCAAGGGTGATCAGTTGTTATGTTTTGTCATTGATCCAAATTGTGGGTTATAGCGAAACATGTAATATCGTTCACTGATGTTTGTACGTCTAAGACTATTAAGATTTCCCCTGGTATATGGAAACAAGCACGAAAAACGCTTTTGCTAGCATTTCTTGTTTAAAAAGTAGTTGAAATCCCAAGGGACTTGTATTTTCAGACCAAGTAAAGGTATATTGCATACAAATCAAAATCCACCTGCTACCGACTCATTTGGTCCTAAATGTTGTCATCAACAGGCGAGATTGACGTCAGAAACCCGATTAACTAACCTATCTGATTGATTGAATATGTTCTCATTATATCACAACTGATTCCTAACTCTTCGCCTATGATGACCATAACAATAATACCTACATCCCAAGTTCAGATATACAATTATGATATAAAACGTCAACGCCAGAACAAAAACAGGTTCGATCATCTGACGAAACAGATTCGATTAGGCATAATAGAGATTAAAAATATGTGAATGGAAATCACTGAAAATCAGCGAAAAGTGTGAGAATGTAGCACCCGCTTCTCACACAATTTGCACAAAAAGGTATGTGTTCGTTGCCTGACGCCACACAGAAGTACGCCCTCCATTCGACAACGGTAAGAAAACAAACCCAACAATCACGTGATGGGCCACAAATCCAGACTAAGATAACATCTTGCAGCTGTTGGATTTAACTCTAACACATGTTGATAGGATAACATAAAGCTTAGTGAATTAGACTATTGTCCTCACATTTTGTGTCTAATGAGATGAACCAGATTGAAGAAGACAGTTAAAACTTGTTAACTTGATAATACTTCACATTGGGTGTAATATGTAATTCGAGACAAGCGGTATGCTAATGTTATACTTTAGTGTCGAGGTTTTTTCTGTCGCCATCTCAATGTGACATCATTTAATCATATACAGTTCATGATGTTAGGGTTTACGAGATCCCAGTGTATTCTCTAGCTCGGGGGTATTCTAAAATACAGCATTCAAACAATACGACCTTCTTGCATTCGTGTCTGTCAATTGCTGATAAAGGGTGACAATTTAAAATTGTACAGTGAAACCCATTAACACGGATGGTATCAGTCCCAGGTAAATCGCCCGCATTATCGAATTTCCGAAATTTGTTTTATCCAGACTCTATTATTTCGTTTCAGTGGTACATTCAGGGCAACGTTATGATGTACATGGACTGTGATACTTCAGTTAAGGTGTAAATTATTTTATAACCGCTTCCTCACATTAGGATATTTTGAGCAGGTCAGTTATCAGTTCCCAGCAGATAGCTGTAATAACCACCAACATAAATGTCAAGTAAGTAGTCTTACTTTGTCAGCATGTTTCTTATTTTTTTCTATTTCTTTTTTTACTAATTCATTTGATTGTGTGATACATTTTATCAATTAGAAAGGGGCGATTGGGTAGCTGAATGGTTTCAGCGTTCAGTCGTCACGCCGGGCTCGATTCCCCACATGTGTACAATGTGTGAAACCCATATCGGGTGTCCCCCGCCGTGATACTGCGTGAGACCATACTCTCTGACTCACACTGTTTCTAAGCTATCTGGTAATATTCTCCTAAAATATTCAAGTAAACGTTTGTTGTCCTTGATATTATTAGTTACATGTCTATTTTTCTTGGTGGCAGTAATTATTTGACGAAAAAAATGTTACTAGCAGTAAATCCATCTTATCAGTATCATTTTCATTCACAATATGTTCAAATTGGGACCAAAAACTGCAGACCTGATCACATAAAAATATACATGCATTAAATCTCAAGCAAACACATAGTTTTATCCATCAATTCCCTCAAAGTGTAAATAATTCTGTGTATAAATATGCATTGAAAATCTAGTAATTTGCACTCTGATATCGGGAAGATAGCATTTCAGTTGAAGTTTTGCTTTAGTATATATTCCCATTTCCACACACTTATGTTGGAATTTCCTTGTTCAACAAGTCATCGTCATAGTCTAGGTGCGTATGATAGTATACTGTTAAATATGTCACACACAGACAATGCGACCGCGATGCAACCTTTTGGCGACTGAATTCCTTTGCGACCGACTGGCGATCGCTGAGACCGGTGCAACTACTTCTGCCCATATTTGGAATTAGCGTATGATCGCCGATCAATCAGCGATAGGTTTTGCAACCAGTCAGTGATTGATCGGCAACTGTTCACCGCAGATACGGCGAAATGTTTTCAACTGGTTGAGACCGATCGGTGACTAGTTAGCGAATCTTCAGTGGCTTGGTGCAACTGAAAGGAACTGGTTGGTGATTAGTTGTCGATCAATCACCGATCAAAACATAATGCATATAAAAAGGGTGCTTTTCTGAATCAAATCTTATTTTTGCAAGTTGTTAAGATGTTAACAGCAGAACAGTTGTAGTTGCTCCGTCTGCAAAGAATAAATCAAAATGCTGCAGTTGCTGCCAGGATGATGTACAGAAGAATGAGAAGGACCAGGCGAAATCAGTATTGGCCACAACTTGGAGACTATATGAGAATTTGATGGCAGAGTTGGAGAGAGAAAGTCGTGGTGATTTCGTGGGTCCGTCAACACCTAACATCTCTTACTCTCCCTCCTCATCAAGTATTCGCCTCTTCTTTTGTTGAGATGTTGTTGGCTCTGGCTCAATTGGAGCAGACCTGTGCACCACAGCAGTTGTCTCTATTGTCTCTTCTACAATTTCTGGTTCTTATGTTTTCCTGCCTTTACGGACCATAGTGATGAATGGAAGTTATTGATGTGAACTCTCTGATTATAATGACAAAATGATGCTGTAATGCACAGACAGGTCTTTTTATAGACGGTGACATGTTGCAAACCCAACAGCCAATGATTGACGCACGCTTGGAAACCACTTTGCAACTGATCGACAACCAGTCACTGATGAAGCGCCTGTCGATCACCGCCTCATCACTGATCAATCACCGATAGGTCGCCACAGTGATGTAAAGAGTCAACACCTTTGTGTAGAAGAAACCGATGGCCGCACAGTGAAAACCAAATTGCGATTAAAATAACACCACTTGGGGACCTCTAGGAGACCAATAAAACCTCCGTGCGACCAAATCAGTCACTGCTAGTCTTTTGTGCATGTTCAAAAGACTGGTTGCGATCGAATGGATTTTGCGACCGCTCTGAAACCTTGTGGCGACCTCAGTGAAACCTTTCAGAGACCCCTGAAACCTCATTGCGACTGTCATATATTTTGGTCGCCAGGAGGTTGCATCGCGGTCGCATTGTCTGTGTGACTGAGGCTTAAGTCAACATTACTGAAAAAATATTGTTATTAACAGTGGATCCGTATGACGTAAATCAAGAAGAAATCGAAATCAGAATATTGATTATCATACTGTCCATTGTTGACAAGTGTTTAATTAATATGTATGATTTACTTATTCTATTCAGTATATGGCTGAGATATTACACGATCTGACTTTAAATATAACTCACAAACTCATTCTATTGACACTGACTCTTAAAACAGCGTCTCCAGATTAACATGATTTCATTGTAGTATGTGACCGTGAATAGGTGACATATTGCTGACCCCTAGATAGACACTCCTCACCAGTTACACCTGCGTTGGTAATGGTCTGCTGGAAAACTGGATGATCGGGAAGTTTGGGGGGCGTCATACCAGGTCATCGATTGTGTGTAGCAGCCGCCCTGATACATCTCAAAGGTTTTGCATGTGTAAATGGAAGCCTGAAGACACATCTCCACACATTCTGGCACTGAGAAAGGGGTTTGATTCTCCTCATCATAAAAGATTATTGCGTGATTTGCGTACAAAGTGAAGTTGTCTCTGAAAGACGTACATTCTGCAATGAAGGGAAACAGCTTATAGTTGCCATGGGAAAATGTAGTATGCATGTACAAGAAGCATTGGATCGGAAGGGACGTATGCATGTCCGTTAGATGCATGCATTCGTCTAAAAATAGTTTCGGGGGCATGATGGCCAAATTAATTAATTTATAATTAATTAATAATTAAATAAGGCGCCTCAATTCGCCATTCGTCTCGTAGGCGTGCCGGAACATCAAGGTTGTGAGCTCGATTCACCTCGATTGGTCTATCACCATCATACCCGTGCTCGTGGGTTTCAACAGAGTCGTAAGCTTCTAAGACATGCATCCTTTTGGACTCACCGCCAACAGTAAACTGACGTGCCTTGATAAAACTGTTCAAGACGCTCTTTTTACTAACTCGACTCCTCCATTAGTAAATTAGGTGTATTTAACTTAGAGCACTTTTGAATGTTTTAAGGATACATACACCAACTACATGCCCTTCGATCTCAAATAATTCGGGATATAATTTTCAGTATACCAATTTGTGAAGAGATCTGTTAAGGTTGCTAAAATCTCAGTAGATATTTCTTTACATTTTGATAGCACCAATTGTACGCAGTAGTCCCAAGATATGTCAAACTTAAATCACTATCTATATAACAGTGCCTATTAACTTGTTTATTTTACTAAGACAACGTACAAGAACAAAGGTGTAAATATTGAGTATGCCCATACCACTTAGATCTCTACAAAGACTTCCTGCCACGTCTAGGCCGTATCCAATGCTGCATGTGCACAGACCGCCAAAACATGTTGTTCCGGGAAATATACCACAGTCAGCCTCGATCTCACAGCTGACGTCATCTGAAAAAACACACAGGTACCGTATCGAAATAAATGCTTGTTTCATTGCTGACGATTTTAGATATCCCTTGTCTGTCTATGTTAAACCGCCTCCTTGGTGAAGTATGTAGAACGCCTCCCTCGTTCCAAAAGACTTTAAAGATATTACTTAAGTCAGTATGATGTGTCCAAGTATCCATGTTTAACTGGGACATGGTATCTCAGTGGGTTAGCACTATAAAACCAGCAACACCCGGATGACGAGGGAGGGGCGGGGAGGGGTGTGTATGTGTGTGTTTGTGTGTGTGTTGTGTGTGTGTGTGTGTGTGTGGGGGGGGGGGGGGGCGGTAACGTCGAGTCCAAGATTATTGCACTTATATAGCGACGTGCATGCGCGCGCGCGCGTGTGTGTGTGTGTGGGGGGGGGGGGGGGGGGGGGGGCTGTTTGTACTAGTCCGGACTGATGCCGATCTATAGTGCTAGCCCACTGGGATACCATGCCGTAGTTTAACAGGAATACCCCACTCAGACACAGTATAATGACTCCGAGCCGACCAGTCCTTGTTTTAGCCCCTTAATGCCGAGGGGCGGTCGGGTAGCCTAGTGGTTAAAGCGTTCGCTCGTCACGCCGAAGACCCGGGTTCGATTCCCGACATGGGTACAATGTGTGAAGCCCATTTCTGGTGTCCCCCGCCGTGATATTGCTGGAATATTGCTAAAAGCGGCGTAAAACCAAATTCACTCACTCACTTAATGCCGAGCGCCAGGCAGCGTAACAATAAATACCATCTTTTAACGTCTTTTTGGTTTGACGCGCCCGGGGATCGAACCCCGGACCTTCCGCTACCCTATATTCTGATATCATTGCAAAGCTGTAATGAAGAGAGCTATATGAGGAAGCCCTATTTCGCCTTGTGGCATATCATCCCGTGTTCTTTTCAAGTGAAAACATTACTTGACTTTGCATGAGTTGGTGACAGGTGCTAACTGCTATCATCACTATTTGACTGTGATTATTAAACACTTCCTTATGATATAGTCGGAATCGTACGATCGACTCTGCTTTAGCGGATATTTCTTATGATTATGGAAATGCTTTCGTTGCTTTTATTAACATAAATGCCTGACATAATGGTATAAATTTGATCCCCTTTTTACATGAAAATATGAGTGAAAAAAAGTTCCTTTAACAGATTGGGTTTGGTGCCTCAAACATATAGGAAAAAGTAAATAGTTACATATCCTCTGAATTTTTTATTAAAACAAGTGATTAGACCATTTAAAAAAAGGAGTATTTCGTAAAAAAAATAATTTGTGATTAAATGTGCACCTGGTCCATCGTTAGGCACCAATTATCTGTCAAACGACCAAAAGCAATAGTAATACAAACAAACATTTCCTCCAAAATTGTGATCATATTCTCAATAAGACTATGGATGTTGTGCTGCCAGCTGTGCTGTGAGCATTGACGATTCGTAAACGTTGGTCCTGAAAGACAAAACGTCGACCAATACGCCTTGCAGACGTGCCAACAAAGGGTGTCAGTTGTCCCATATTATGTCCAGTGACTCTTCGGTGCACTTTATAGTGTGGGGTTCGGTCAGTCATAGTGATGCCATCCCACACCATAACCGATCCACCGTCAAATCTGTCATTAGGTCCCAGGTTGACATTGGCTTGACGTTCATTTCGACGTCGACCGACTCCGTGGTCTAGTGGTCAGGGTTTAATGTGATGTACATGTCATTATCTGCTCAGTTTTCAAAAGCAGTTTGAGTGGAAATGGAAAATATCGATGCATTCATTATTCTTTAATTTTGTTAGCTCTGACACACGACAATCAAAACATCTTCAGGGTTTAATGTGATGTACATGTCTGCTCTGTTTTCAAAAGCAGATTGAGTGGAAATGGAAAATATCGATAAACATGTCGATATGTAATGCTAAATCTGAAACGAACATACTTGCTGGTGTAGTGGTTGCTTCTGGTGTGGTTGTAGTTATTTCTGGTGTAGTTGCAGTTGTTTCTTGGGTAGTTGCTTCTGGTGTTGTAGTTGTTTCTGAGGTAGTTGCTTCTGGTGTAGTTATAGTTGTTTCTGGGGTGGTTGTAGTTGGTTCTGAGGTAGTTGTTTCTTGTGTAGTTGTAGTTGTTTCTGGGGTAGTTGATTCTGGTGTTGTAGCTGTTTCTGGTGTGGTTGTAGTTGGTTCTGAGGAAGTTGTTTCTGGTGTAGTTGTAGTTGTTTCTGGTGTAGTTGTTGTTGGTTCCAGAGTAGTTGGTTCTGGTGTTGTAGTTGTTTCTGGTGTGGTTGTAGTTGGTTCTGGGGTAGTTGTTTCTGGTGTAGTTGTAGTTGGTTCTAGAGTAGTTGCCTCTGGTGTGGTTGTACTTTGATCATGGTTAGTTGCTTCTGGTGTTGTTGAGGGTGCTGGATTTCGGGAAGTAATGAGACTTCGAGTTGTCAGCATTGTAGTTGATCCTGATGAGGCAGTAGTCGCGGCCGATGCAGGTACAGCTTGAACACAAATGTGCGATGTTGACTTAACTACAGGGATACATAGCTGGTCACTTCTACAGGGACGACTTCCACATGTGTGAGTCTGAAAGTAAATTTGAAGACTACATACATTAAATCAAAATATATATTTATAGCACTGAATATGAGATAGTAATGCACCCGATTCTTTCATTTCTCTAGAGGTTATCTATATTGAAACTATGAAAGAATCGGGCGTATCTTTAAATTTTTTGGAGTAGAATATTCACAATAAGTTTAGTCTATCCGATGATCTTGTGAATCAACGCAATGAAGATCTGAACGTTCAGATGTATACTTGGTGTTTGATTTACTTTCTAGTGTTGGTGAATAAATATGAAATTGCTTATTTGCAATGCATTGGAGCCGCCAAAAACATCAATCATTCTGCATATTTTAAAAACAGCATTTGTTTAATCTACCATAAACGTTTCATATGCCATGCCAAATCGAAAACATTCTTGGGAATCAACCCAAATCAAACCTTATTTAACGATGTTGTCCAACCGATCAGATTCACTTTCTCCCTATTTATTTCTTGCTCTGTGCGCGCGCGTGCGTGCGTGAGAGAGAGAAACTGTTTAGTCGAATCTTGCGACCTCGGGGTGACAGATCAAAAACTTCATAAAGCGTTTGTATTTGTGCAACGGCAGACTGTTTTTGACGTCATTTTTCAGTGTTAATTAAAATGCCAGCAACACCATTCATGCATACCATTGGATTAACCAGGGCCCTTCCTACTACGGCCCGTAAAGGTCGGGGTAAGAATAGGCCTTCAGTAACCCCTGCTTGCCTCCCATGCAGTCGACTATGCTTGTCATAAGTAGCGACTAACGGTATCAGGTGCTCAGACTCGCTGACTTGGTTAATGCATGTCATCATATTCCAACTGCTTGGGTCGATGCTGATGATATCGATCACTGGAATATCCGGTCCAGACTATTTTCTGATCGCCGTCATAAAGCTGCAATACTGCCGAGTGCGGCGTTAAAGAACAAACAAACAAACCTATTTACTACCTAAGTACATGTATCCATTGATTTCGCAATCTCCATCAGACCATGTTTGTATTTAAGGAAATGTTAATCAAGCAAACATCTTAACTGCGACGCTGACACAACCTTATTGATTATTGACACCAGTGTCTATCGTTCGTTTATTATTTAACAATTTATTGACCAGTCATAAAAGTAATGTCTCAGTAAAAAAATCAATTAAACAACTACCAAGTCAGATTGAGTCACTGAGTATCACTTTCTTTTCGTCTTTATCAACCAGCCACAGTGCGGAGGCGGACACCAAGAAGGTGGTGCACATTGTGTATCCAAATAGGGGATCGAACACAGATGAGTCAATCTTTCCTTTTTAGTACGATATTGATATAAACCGTGGGCTAGATACATCAGTCTAACTAAAGTCACTTAAAAAACACGTTTTCATCAGTGATCGAAGATGTTTCAGAGCCATACACTGGAACGAATGTTTTTTTCTGCTTTCCGATTTCAAAGTATTTGTTTTAGGTATCGGGTCACATTATTTGAGAGTTTGATTGAAAAATAGGATCAATATCGTAAGGCTATATGCACTAAAATTCGAATGCTGTCCATGTCCATTAAAGGTGTATTTCTCAGGTAAATACAATCCTTATGGTTCCTAGCAAAGTTTTGGTAATAATCATTGACGTAATATTTGTTTAAGATGTAATTGAATGGAATACATCAATAAATAATTTCGTTCTATTAAGAGTATTGCTATATCAAAAGGTTGGAGGATAAATCTGTATTTTCTACGAATTATTTTTCTTAATCACTTAATTTAATTGAAGTTTGAATCTTCTGGATATTTCACATTTAGACATTTTCAGGCAGCTTCATAGCACAGGAAAATAATAGTCTAGTATCTGACTGAAACTCTTTCGGCGAAGTGGCGATGTCGTTCTTGTTTTCTTCACAAGGAAAACAATTATGTCTATTGGAATATTGCCATGTTATAGCAACGCATGCATGTAATATTTGGATCGTTCTCATAATTACAGAATTCGGTATTTCGATGTTCCTTTCGTCAAAAACATGTTAATAATAATATAAAAAAATAATGAGTAAATAAGTCAGGTTTGGCTTTTAATTCGCCCAAGAAAATTGAATACAACTAAAGTGAGATTAAAATCATTGAATAATACATACTCTGTTGTCATGAAAGCACTGATATAGTTCTTTAATTATTCAAATACAAGTATGAACATGAAAACGCATCTAAACCAACGAAAGTACTTTGATGTCAATCGACAATTTAAGTAATTATTGATCCGATTAAACCGCCTTTCATGTGTGCTCACGTTGATGATAAATCGAACTCGTACTAACACAATTGAACTTATTCTGTTGTGCGGACAAGGGTTAAAGGTTAAGATGGAAAGTTTTATGTAGTAGTCACACGATAAGAACGCTGATGTGAAACTGACATTGTCTGACAACTACTGCAGGCATTACATTCAAGTTATTGACAGTAACGATATATTGACAGTGACGATATATCATGATGTTCAGCTTAATGCAGTAGGTGTTAGTGCAGTTTTTCAGCTCATGTGCAAATAATCCAGCAATGACAAGACGCCAGGCAAATGGAACACCAGACATGGGTTTCCTTTATTGGGAATCGAACTCGGTTCTGCGGCGAGACGAGCTAAGACTTAGCGGCAGTGGGTTATTCATGTGAAACTAAATATCAAATTGAATAAGACGTAAAAAGCCATGTCATCAGCCACACTGTCACAAATGTGTTCTCATTCTTATTCTAAAAACAAATCAATCCAATATTTAAAGGCCTTACCAGTCCTTATCATGTTAAGAAATGTTTTAAGTTCTAAAACTGTTCATGATTTTAACCTATACGGAACCAAAACAAAGAATATTTAGATTCACGCTTGGCATCTGTGGCAGTTTTATCAACACTTTTACCTTGGGGAACCTCACCACTTCAATGTCCTACCCTAAGGGAATGAAATGCACCACATTTCAGACCACCACAGAAGTACTTCTTGAGTTTTCATGAATATTATATACATGTATGTTTGTGTGTATGATCTGGAGAGGGAATATGATACCATTCCCAAGGGCGATCCAGCATTAAAACAAATATGATGTGTCTAGGTAAAATTCGATGTAGCAACGAAAGTTTAGCCTTTCTACTCATTGATAGTCGGTCCTCAGGACTTAGATAAGGATGTACGATTGCCATCCCTTGTCATATAAGACAAGTATTTAAGAACAAACATACATATGCTGAAAAATATATTGATTAAAATGACAAACATACTTTGCGAATGACCATCGTGAGCATGACCTTGACCATATATGTAGGTGAGAGCCCCGCCCCAAAACCGACATGAACAAAGTTTCATTGACCTACAGTTAATGCTTCTTGAGTTATTGTTCTGGTGTTCTCCTTTTCTTGCTATGACCTTCAGGATGACTTTGACCCTTGACATGATTGCATAATGTTTCAAAAGAATTGACTATGGTTGTAAAGGCGATATATGTGAGATAATATCTATTAGACATGCATGTACCAAAGGGCGGCGACAAGACTTTAGAACTCCGTGAGCTTGCCTTATTACTGGAACGTAGTTATGTCTCCATTACATGGATTTAAATATGAACAGCGTATGTAAATTAGTCCACGAAGAAAGCACTTCTTACTTCGGAGAATATCGATAATACAACCGGTATACCACAGCCTTTGGTCTAATTTGTACATGTATGTTCATATATTTACATTTGTGTTATAATTCGTGTTCTATGGAAAACCTTAAAGCAAGAAATGAGTGTCTTTTTAGGGATTACAACACTCAAGTGAATGGGTAATGTTGTTTACGCCGCAGTCTGCAAATATTTCTGCAAATAGTTGAACCTCGACCAGGCGAATCTAAAAGTAAAGTACGGTGACACGCGAAAAGCCAAGTCAGCCTGGCCTGCCGAGGCCACATGTGAACTGCTTGAACTTGAGCAAAACATAAGTAATGGAATCAACAATACAAAGTGGTTATCTCTAAAATTCTACAAAGTTGTTTACATAATGCAGGACCCGTGAAGATCCGGGGTAGAATAGGTCTTCAGCAACCCGTGATTGCCGTAAAAGACGACTACGTATACGTTTGTCGTAAGAGGCGACAAACGAGATCGGGTGGTCAGGCTCTCTGACGTGGTTGTGCATGTCATCGTATCCCAATTGCGAAGATCGATGCTCATGATATCAATCACAGGATTGTCTGCTCCGGACTCGATTATTTATAGACCGCCGTTATACAACAAACAAACAAACATAGTGCAGACAATAATGACAATAACAACCATCCTCTGCCGATGTGTAAAACACTTTTGGATTGTCAGCTTTGTCAGTTATGCATTATGCATGGTCATAATGCAAATAGCAAATTGAGGTTGAATTGAATAATAAGGGTGTTCGTATGCCTATGAAACAAAACACTATCATGTATAAATGTTTGGATATTTTTATTCCAAAATCGTCCAGAAGGTGGGTGTCTATATTTATAACCTGACAGCATCAATTTAGTCTTCCTGGATGGTTTCCTCAACTAGGCGCTTATGCCAAATATTGAAGACTTCATATACCACCATTATACCCCTGGGAATGTTTTATGACATATGATTGGGTGACATTGAAGGGCAAGGCCATAAGAGTTAACTATATCTAAACGCCCAAAAGGCTTTATATAGAAAAATGTGTTAGCGGCTTGGTGGTGTAAAACGGCTTTAAAACAAAACAAAATATTATTTTTATAGATCTATTCTGTACGTTTGTGTAGCTATATTTATTATGGCTTTAGAATCAGGAGTAACAGTGCCGTGTCTTACCTGTAGTTGAATCGGTTCAACTGGCATGTACACGTTGTTTGGTGAAACTTGCAAATTACCAACACCGACATGCTGCATGTTGAGTTGACATTCTCTGACAGAGGATAACCAGTTGATCGATGAACAGATCGAGGAATAGAGGCACAATTGGTGACACTGTTGGAATGTTGTTTTA